GGCTGCCAATGAGGACAAGTACTTTACCGACCGAGGTCTGAAGGCAAACGCTGATTTGCTAGGCTGTTTCCTCTATACGGCTATGTATGGTTCCGCCCCTTCAAGACTGTTGCCCGCGAGGAGCGTTGCTGACTTCGAAAACCACAGGGGTATTGAGACGGACATGATCATGCCGATAATATTGCTTTCCAGGGCTCCCGGCGCTCTGGCACACTGGCGGGAGAGTCTGAGTAAGTTCTCTCCCTTTCCCGAGCCTACTAAATTTGGGTGTACAATAGCTAAGCGAGTGCAACAACAGCCCAGCCAATCAAGCTCTGGAGACCTCAGCAAATCTACGAACCTGAGCGTTAAAGTCATATTTGAGTGTCATCTGGTGCATACCTTTGATTGCATTTTCACATCATGAATCATGGCAGCTATGGTTCAAAAGTCTGTGTCTATTATGTAGCGATGGTTGAAGACCAATAGCAATGGTTACGTTTGTACTCGGGGTCTCCCATTCTGGCTTCTGTGCTTCGTTTCAAACCCTCTGAGAGCGCTGCCTACGGCTACAGTGTCATTTAGTTCTTCCATATGATAAATGAAACGAAAAACAGCACGGAAAGCTGTGGGTGCGAGACGTGACCCCTTAGCCCTATCATCTGAAAGCTCTCACCATTGTTCCCACGTAGTACAACCCCTGACGATCACCGGTGACACATTCACGATTTCATTGGAGATTAAGAAACTGTTTTATTACGAACAAATGAAGTCAGTATCAATATGGATGAGATTACAGGGTTTTGCAATACGTCGTATGCCTATCCATCAGTCTGATGAGGGAACCTGTAGTTAGGTTTTTCGATACGGCGGATGTTCAGAGTACTACGACTCGGCGCTGAGATCAATCACTAAGCAACTCAACCGGGTTACAGCTCTTGCCTATACGTCGCGTGCTTAGGCATTCGTCTTATAATTGGTGAAATCTTCCAAGTGGCCAATTGGTGTTCCTATCTAACGCAAAGAGCCATGTGATGTAGAATGGAGAATACGCCAGGGATGATACTCCATGTTTAGACCAACCTCAGATCCCCGTAGCTGGTCACGTATATGATGTTCGTTCGGGGTAAACGAATCATGCATGATGCCCTTGGTAGCAATCGCAAACATGAGTGATCTATCCCGAATAAGGTGTCAAGAGCCGAGACAAATGATCGTCGGTCGGTAAGTCGCGAAAAGGAAAGCTTCGTGGAATCCAAGCCAATGCCGTCGCGGCCAATCCGGGACTCACAATTGCGAAAGGATTGGGGTATTCAAGGGACCAGGTTGCTCAACAATGACCCAAGTTTGTGGGACATGGGGCTGCACATTCGGGGGGGGCAATATGACTTGCGAGACACAACAACAGTCAAGTCAAGCCTTGGCCTTGAACAATCGAGGGTGGTAAGACCACCAGGGACAGGATGTAAACAAAGGACGCCGGGTGCGCCAAGACCTGCGTCTACAGCTAATATGATGCAGGTAGTACAATACTGGAAAAATTGCAGAGCAAAATGATCTGTGATACCCAGGCGCAAGCAAACACACCGAAGTACCCAGTACCAACACTCCCTACCCAATACAGCCCCGCTTGCTGCTGCCACGATACCTGCATCTAGAATGTGTTAGTTAATTCAATGATGCAGATTGTATTCTGTGCATTTCGTCAATACTTGCCCACATTTCCCTGGTTCCTATTTGGGTCAAGGTTGGTCCCCAAGAATCCTCTTACTAATTACCTAGCACTGCATCCTATCAGAACACCAAGATTCGCAAGGGTTGCCGTCTTCACCTACATGACACAAACGCCAATGTCACCAATCCATTTACTCTTACCCTTCCCTTTTATACCTTCAACCACTGCTTACCTCCGAACTCATCATCTACTCGTCGAAAGGAGATAGTTGATGACTTTGGAGCATTCTCGCCATGGACAACGAACGAGAAACAGAGGCGCCCGCCGAAAGGCCTGATATGAGCAACGAATATTCGACAGGAACCACCGCAACCGAGAAACGTCCCGTATACACTCTCGCCCCCGAGAGCAAACCCGAAGCCACCTGCACGGGCAGTATCGGCCAAACGCCGTACAGTATTTATATGTCACGACAAAAACGCCTGATTGTGCTAGCTGCCGCGGCGGGCGCGCTCGTCTCCCCTCTGACGGCCAACATTTACCTACCAGCAGTCCACACCCTAGCTGAGGAGTTTCAGGTCTCTGCCACCAAGATCAACCTCACCGTGACCATTTACATGGTCTTCCAAGGACTGACTCCCTTCTTGGTGGCCGGTTTATCAGACCGAGCTGGTCGACGCCCGACATTCGTGATTTGTTTCATCTTGTACACGATCACGAATCTCACATTGTCCCTGACACCCAAAGACTACTCGGCCCTTCTGGTTCTCCGTGCCCTGCAATCGGCCGGAGCAGCAACGATGCAAAATGTCAACCAAGCCATTATGGCTGACATCGTCACCAGTGGGGAGCGAGGCCAATACGTCGGCTTTTCAATGAGCCCAGCGGCCCTGGGCCCTAGTCTAGGACCATTGATCGGTGGTATGCTGGCTTACTATCATGGCTGGCGCTCAATTTTCTGGTTTCTGACTGTCTACGGCGGCCTTGCACTTGTGCTTCTGGGGTTGTTCCTCCCGGAAACCTGCCGCCGGCTTGCTGGCAATGGATCCGTGCTGCCTCCGAAAATATATCAAACGCCATGGCAACTGATCAAAGCCGACCGATCCGACCTCGAGAAGAAGCAACCGCAAAATAATCATACAAATAACGACGAAGATGTTTCCTTTCGCAAAGCGCTAGTTCAGCCTCTCAAGATCGCACTCCAGAAAGAAAACGCGATCCTCCTGCTTGCCTCCGGGCTTACCTACTCGGGTGTATCCGCCACCACGACACCGCTCTCCGCTATTCTGGCGAACACCTACGGTCTCGACACGCACAAGATCGGCCTCATCTTCCTTCCCATCTTCGGCGGATCCATCCTAGCCATCGGCGCCATCGGGTGGCTCATGGACAGGAACTACCATCGCCACGCGAAGAGACTCGAGCTCGACTTATCCGACAAACACAATAAGACTCAGATGGACCTCGCCACCTTCCCGATTGAGCGCGCGCGCGTCGAGGTCGTTTTTCTCCCGTTGTCACTCTGCATCGTGGCCATGGTGCTCTGGGGCTGGCTGCTAGAGATACAGGCGCCTTTAGCTGTCGTGTGCGTGCTCATCTTTCTACTGGGCTTCGCCATCGTCGGCGCCAACAACGTGCTCAGTGGATTGATCATCGATCTGAACCCCGGGAATGCCGGCTCGGCCGCCAGCGCCAACACTCTCATCAAGTTCGCATTCGGTGCCGTCGTGTCGGCTGTAATCCAGCCCCTTATTCTAGCCCTGGGACTGGGGTGGGCATACACCTTTTTGGCGGGAATTTATCTTCTTATTTGTCCGATCTTGGTTCTCATTGCCATCAGGGGTAGGAGGTGGCGGCTCCACGAGAAAGTTACCGCCAAAGATCCCGCCACTGAAAGCTGGGGAGGGAAGATAGCCATTTCATAATCAATTTGTATGCTGTTGTGGGGGTAAATACATACCAATGGATGGAAGCGATAGTCTACATGAGTTGCTGAATTTACCATCTCTGCTTGTTCGAAAACCGTAATTCCTCGTCGTTGTCAGACTTGAAATATGCCGACTGCCTACTACATCCCATACACCCGGTGTGTTTTCAGCATAAAGGGATAAATTACATGTGTACAGTAGCTTTCTTTCTGCCTAATCAAGGTTCGCTTTCCCACTGCGTCCATTTGCAGTGTAACAACCTCTATGTGTGTCTCCAGTCAGCATCAACCATCACCGGCACACTACTGTCCATCCCTATCGTATGGCGGATCTAACCTCGATTGAATCAAGCTACGTGAGTTGTGTAATCTGAGCCCAGAAATGTTGTTCAACCTTTTGAAAATGCTTATCCCGACAGCGGCGGTAGGCACCAATCAACCTAAGACGTGCGCGCCCTGTAAGATATTATTTATAACAGACAACGGGGGCGGCGTTGTTGGGAAAGCAGCCGATGAGGTACCGCAAACAAATATCGATTGATATGCAAAATCGCAAAAAAGAAATTCTCCGAATCGGGGAATCGAACCCCGGGCATGTCGGTACTTCATTCCTCTATAATGGGAGGTAATGAGAGCGACATATGTTAGCCACTACACCAATTCGGACTATTCATGGCGAGCCGCCAGCTATATATACACTCATCCTCGTTCTTTTCATATATAACCCTTATGTGAAAGCCCGTGCAGCAATACTACCTACACCAACATAATAATTCTTTACTACTGTCTCGCAAATTGTTGCACCGTTCTACTAGATCTGTGGGGAGGATAAACAAATAATTGCTTTACTATTGATGCTGGCATAGCTGTAGCTTGGGGGGCTTTCTCGACATTTCTGCAAATTAGTGATACATAAGACAGAAACTCATTTGAGTACCCATATCGACAACCACCTTCCATGTTTCCTTCCCCAAGCTCACCTCGCCAGAACTCTCCTCTGTGAAGCCGCTGTCTATCTACTCATGTCTTCCCAGGTCGGGTTGGTGCTGATGACGAACGATCTCCACGTCGCGCCGTTCTCAGCGTGGCACTGTTCTCCAGGCACATCAGAAAGTTTCTATTACCCCCCCATGCAACATCCTCGAGAACTGGAACTGTGGCTCAACTGCGTGCTCGCATTTGCCCACATAGCTACACACAAGTTTGTCCGAACACATGTTCTAACATCGCTGGCAAATTTGGCATCGATGCCTACTTTGCTGCAGCTATCTGCGTTGCACCCTGTATCGAAGCGGAGGTTACTGGAATTGAGCACATGTATCATGCCAACGAAGCTGGGTCCGAAAGTTGTGCCCGAGATGATGTAGACTTCCTCTTTATCTTCTTGGCTTTCATTGAGGGCCCATTGAATCATGCTTATGCTCCTTGTCGCGTCTGGCTTCTTTCCAGGAAACAATTGCATTATTCCAAACTTTCAACGACCTAGTTGACGCGCAGCTGACAGAGGAGAGCACAAGAGTGCCCGAGATGATAGACTTGTGTGAGCTCAATACATAGTTTGTTGACCTGGTGCAAAGCGGCATTACCAGCTTCCATGGATGCTTCCGTGCCGAGGAAGGTACTGGCGGTTCCGGAGACATACGCTGCAATCTGACCACTATATGTAGATAAAGTTTGAGGATTTGAGTCAGAAGAGAAGTTTTTGTTGCACATCCACGTCAATGTGTCGGTGGCAAGGCGCATCGTCTTGATCTCGCTGCGCAGATCACCCAAGGAGCTTTCGTAATTCCGTTAGCCTGGGTTCGGCAGACATTTTGGCAGCTGCATAATCTGCTGCCGCTCTCTCCACCGCAACATTCAGCTTTTTTAGCTCCTCGTCCAGAGCCTCAGTCCCAACACCGAGGCTCTTGAGTTCAGTCATAGTCGTGGTCAGACCTTGTTTTGACGACGTTAGGGAGTCGAGACGATCACGGGCTGCGTCAACAGGCGCTTGTATTTCCGCCATGGCCATGACGTTGTTCAGCGCAGCTTCATTGACTACGCTCATCAAGGGGAGACTGGGATCGTAAGGTATCGAGGTAGACATTGTATAGAAGTGATAAACCAATGAGTAGGGTGAAATGAAGTGAGCACGATCTTCGATATCAACGTTTCGAGTTGCAAGTAAGAAGAAGTTTGAGGGGCGATGCGACTGGGGAAGGACGAAGGCTGGCGAACACGAATGAGATTCTAGGTAGCAAATCTTTATGGCACTAGAAGGCGGGGTGTTCATACTTACCTAGGTATTTAGATTAACCATGTCTTAATCTAGCCGCATACTCCATCTAGACTTGAAGTGCCACCCATGGTTTCCAATACTCGAACCGTGATTTAATAATCAGTTTTAGTGTCATACTATCACTGATTTACTAGCCCAGCGACTTGATGGGTGTAAGACAACGTTCCTCCTACGTATGGAGAGCTACGTTCAGCCTCGACGTTTGCTGAGTTCTAGACCGCGGCAGCAACATCGTGGTACGGAGACCTAGACTTGTAGGTCAGAATTGAAAAAAGAAGACTATCCCAGCTTGGCTAGTGGGGGATCTAGACTCAGAGTTGTCCTCACGCTACGGAAAGCTAAGGCTACCCATTGCGGGATCCATTGAGCCCCCGCACGTACTACTATGCAGCTCTTGAAGAGTCCACTGCAGCTGCATAGTCGCCCAGAGAGCCAATTGGTCTAAGGAACAGTCTAGTTAATGTTGATTTTGGTATCGTGGTTAATCCAACAAAGTCTATGTCTATCAGGTGTTCTCCGTTGGAGGAAGAAGGAAAAATTTCAGGAATTGCTTCCAGGGTCTAATTATGATACAGCTTTGCAAGTGCAGAGCTACACTGACTGATGGGAAGTCTAGATTCCTAATCGGTCAACATCTTACAGATCAGCTCTAATCAAGGCCACAGGCTCGCATGTTGGGTTGGTAGGTCGACCACCCAGCACCCAGGATAGCACGGGCTTGTAAATATCGGTATATGCCTGCCAGCAAATCGCGAAGTTGACTGCAAAACCTGTCAGTGGGATACTCAATTGTCGTCTCAATACAGACCACCACCATAGTAAGGGTATGGTAGACTCAGGTGCAACGGGGTGCAGAAACTACGTATAACTTACAGGCCCTCCGGTACATGTTGAATGCAGGGACGCGGCCTGGAACAAACGTCGTGTCGTCGTAGCCGTGGTTGACGTAGGCATGATTCTTGTCATCAAACCCTGCAACCTCGGCGTCCCCTGCACCCAATACAAACAGTGCAACATTGCTACCTAGATCGTACTCCAGTGAGATAGCCTTGCCCTTATATCCACTGACGGGATTGACTTCAGCTTCCGCATAGTCCGACAGGAAGAATCCGAAGTCGTGATCGCGTTCGGTGAAGTTGCGGTAGAATCGATAAGATGAATTGTCCACCTGGAGGCAGTTCGCCGGCTCGTACTGGAGGACGAGAAGACCAGAGACCGTCTCAAGAGTGCTCAGGTAGCCTTGCGGGAGATGTTAGTACAAACTCTTCGCAACGCAGTATCAACTAAGAATCACGCATGTGTCGCCTTACCATCGATTGAACTGTTAGAATTCTGACCTCTGACGTGGAATGAAACGGGCCTTCCGAGATAGTGTCATCGGCCGTGGCGACCGAAGCAGTCAAAAGACCGCACAGAAGAGTTGTGAAAGTCTGAAGCTTCATGTTGAATACGTCGTCTTGGATCTGATTGGGCAGGTAGTGGGGGTCTCTTTGCTATCAACCAGGAGTGTATGTGTTGATGATATAATCAAGAATGTTAACGAACCTGTATTGGATTATATGCCATTTCCCTTCAGGACCTGAAAAGGGCGTGCAAAGCTTTGCAGCCCCTAGGTCTAGATAACAATACCTCGAATTTGTCACTGTTTGATTGCGCTACCCTGCATACAGGCCAGGCAGGCAGTGCCAATTGGACCTGCGTTACAAGAAATCAATTACCAGTTACAGTCACGATCGGCTTTCCGTTTGTTCATTCTACTGCTAATATTGTCCCGCAATCTCAGGAAGTATTCGATATGTATTACGTAAGTAGCAAACACAGGCGCGCACACACGCGGTGTGCAATGCGTTGGAATTCGAGGCCAGCCATGGTAGCATTCTGCTCTGCTATCTCAGAACAGGGAGGTCTCTAATTGCCACTTCATTCTCCGTTTACGCAAAAATGCCATGCAATTCTCCTGTTGAGATCCGCAAATTGACATTGGAAGACTCTCTAAGTTTCCTAGGTTAAGCCAAGGGGGGTGTTGTACAGTAGGAGGTCGCGTCTTGAATGCTTCGAGAGCACCAGTATCGAAGTTTAAACATTCGACGTCATCTTTTTAAGCCCCACCAGCTCGCATATGCTTGCCTTGTCAAAGTGTACCGTCACATCCTCGGCATTATTAGTTGGCTCGACTGCGCCACGGACTTGCAATGAGAACCCCACACATCGCTGATGTGGGCACTCAATCAATGTTTAATCGACTTTGAGAATCAATTTTATTGATGGTCAACATGGATTTAACTACAATCCAGTTCCCTCAGCAGACCCCCAGATTGCTCACCCCTAAAAATCTGGATTCCGCAGCATGGCCCTTGGCGTCTCGGCTATTGATACCCCTGATCCCTTTATCCACTACGTGAGCGAGCAGAGGAGCCAACCCCTTGAGCTAATTGGGCCTGCAGCTGACAGGCAGAGAAATTCTGCGTCATCAACGTGAATTCTGGGGTTATTCACCTCTCTTTAAGCATTTTATGAGAAGCGTATATTGCTTGAACAGGTTGTCTTGTTCCCAAAACACAAGCAAGGCCTCGAAACCCTGGGCTTTTCCTACTGTGAGGGTCTCGAGGGTCACTAATGACCCTGTGTGTCTGCCTTGGCAATACCAATTCAGCCCTACAGCGTAAGCCGCAGATTTGACGAGCATGGGTTCCGAGTCGCTGGGTAACCGTCGGGACTAATCGTAATTACTTTCATCCGTCACCAACTTGAGTAAGAGCTAAGTAAACCATACATACCTGGCCCCTGGTCAAATCGATTAGAAATAGAGAACCTAGAATTCTAGCTGAATGGTCACAACTCGATAATTATAAGTATAGAGTCCCAGCCGGTAATTAATTGTAAGATCTGCTGAGTCGAGTAGCCTATCTTTCAATGTCTTCGTGACATCTTGCATTGCAAGCTTGTTCGTGCTCAAGGGTCTAGATCTACGTTACTCTGGCCTGTGGCAAAACATTCCTATCGACAATACTCTTTACTCCATGGGTTCTTATTTCCATCTTGACGAGACGCGCGCTTATCTGGATCATTTTGGACGTCGTCTAGGCATTGAAGGCTTTCGCGGTCGCATCGATTTCAATATAACTTAGTGTCACATTACTTTCTGGCAGGCAAACTCGCGGTCCTAGAAGCTGATCACAGCTATATCACATGGGAATGTAGCCGTCTTCATCAGTCGTACGGTGCTCGAAGAAATATAGCTATGATTTATGTATTGCCCAGGTACGGGCGGCAATATTTTGCTTAGTGGTGTTACGGGAACCACTAAGAGCTCCCTTACATAAGCTTATTATATAAGCCACTTGTGTATATATCTCGAACCCTTACCGGTTCTCTACAGACTACTTTC